ATCTCGCCTCATTCCTCTGAATACTGCAAGGTAGTTCCCAGGGAATTGTCTTTATAAGTCACTCTTTGACCGGAGTCTCATCCGTCCCATTGGCTTTCGCTCTTCCGACTGCTCCCCCTTCTCCGACTTCAACGCCAACCGCCAACATGTCGACCTCCGAGAAGGATATCAAGAACGGTGCCGCTGTCGACCCCTCAATCGAGGTTGAGTACGCCAGCGACCCCGATAGGGCTGGCTTCGACCAGGCTGCTACCAAGAGATTGTTGCGCAAGATCGACTGGACCTTGATTCCTTTCCTTGCCCTGCTGTACCTGCTGTCCTTCCTAGACCGCACCAACATTGGCAATGCTCGTCTCGCTGGCCTCGAGAAGGACCTGGGAATGCAGGGCCTCGACTACAACGTCGCCCTCTCAGTCTTCTTCCCTTGGTATGTCGCTGCCGAGATTCCCTCCAACTTGGCCATGAAGCGCTTCCGCCCTTCTATCTGGATTCCCTGCATTATGGTCGCCTGGGGTATTTGCTGTACCCTTATGGGTCTCGTCCACAACTATGCCGGGCTCTTGGCTGCTCGCATGGCTCTTGGTCTTGCTGAAGGTGGTCTTTTCCCCGGTATTACCTACTAGTGAGTATTACCCTCCTCAGGCGAACTGGTTTGCCCGGGCATCTAACCTCTCTATTTCCAGCATTACCATGTGGTACCGACGTCACGAGTGCGGTCTTCGCATGGCCATCTTTTTCTCTGCCGCTACAGCGGCTGGCGCCTTCGGCGGTCTTCTCGCCAGAGGCATTGTTGAGATGAGGGGCATTGGAGGCAGACCCGGCTGGGCCTGGATTTTCATCCTTGAGGGCATCCTCACTCTCGCTGTTGGTAAGTTGCGATTCCCATGGCTTCATGTAAAACCAGTAGCTCGATACTAATGAATTCCTGTCTGAACAGCCATCGCCGCCTTCTTCGTCATGAACGACTATCCTGCCACTGCCAAGTTCCTCACTGTCGCCGAGAAGGAGGAGGTTACTCGCCGTCTTGAGCAGGACCGCTCCGCTCTTGCTGATGAGTTCAGCATGGTTTACTTCAAGGATGCCATGAAGGACTGGAAGATCTGGGTTCACATGGTCAGTTGCAGTACCCGGACAATTCTGTTTCACACGCGCAGACGTACTGACAAATATCTCTAGCTCATCACCATCGGAATTTACACCCCCCTCTACTCCTACTCTCTCTTCCTCCCCACCATCGTCAGTGGCCTCGGCTACACCAACGAGACGGCCCAGCTGATGACCGTTCCCCCGTATATCGTGGCCTGCGTGTGCTGTATCAGTGGTGGTTGGTTGGCCGATCGCCACAAGCAGCGTGGCATTTACATGATCTTCTTCTGCCTCATCGCGTATGTGTATCGTCTCACGTCGCAACAAAATACTGCAAACTAACACTGTTGTCACAGAATGACCGGCTTCATTATGCTGCTTTCCTCCCAGAGCAACGGAGTGAAGTATGCTGGCTGCTTCTTCGCTGCCTCCGGTATCTACCCCAACGTTCCCCAGGGTGTCGCTTGGAACGGCAACAACATCGGAGGCTCTGTGAAGAGAGGTGTTGGTATTGCCATGCACGTCGGTCAGTCTCAATTGCTACTCACCTTTGTCAACAAAGTGAAGATTACTAACAGGACATAGGCTTCGGTAACCTTGGTGGTGCTATTGCTGGCTTCCTGTACCAGGCCAAGGACAAGCCTCACTACTACCCCGGCCACGGCACACTCCTGTCGACGTTGACCATGTCGATGCTTCTCTCCACCTTCATGACGATCTACCTCCGTCGCGAGAATGCCCGCCGAGACCGCGAGTACAAGGATCCATCCCAATACACTGCTGAGGAGAAGGCAGCCGAGCGTCACAAGGGTGACAACGCCACCTTCTTCCGCTACACGGTTTGAGGGGTCATGAGTCTGTTGATTTCAAGGCAATGTTTTTAGCACAGTAAATTGGTGTTCTTGTCTGTATAATGCAGTACATACGCGGATGAAGCATATGCTATAGAGAAAGAATGGGAGCTTTCAAGGGGATAGATACGGCTTATTCGAGGTCCCCTTAGAGCTGGGCAACAAAATAGAGGCACATCTACGTCAAGATCATTCACTGTGATTCCATATCTTTGCAAACGTGACATGCGAATACAGTTTTGATTGAGTTGTCAGAAACATGAAGCTGACCGAAGAATGGTGCTATGATCAGTGCTCAATGGGAGTTAAGTCACGAATTTGATGAGCCTGCGTCTTCATGAGTAATCACTTACAAGTTGTCTCTTCAAAAAGCCGGATGACACTCAAGACCCCAACATTGCTTCCAAATCTGCCTCTATCCGAAGGATAATTTCCCCTCTTCCCGCTTCTGGTGCCGCCTTGGCTCTGGTCCCCAAGAAGGGGGCGGAGTCTGCCAATACCCTTGGCCTTTACATCCTTTGCCCCGAGACTTGGGGAGGTCGGGGGAAAACTTGGGGAAAACCTGGGGTAAGGAGGTCGACTGGATGAGGGGATATTGGTGCCAAGATTTAGTCGAAAGGGAACAGGGTAGCAAGGGGTATATTTGCGTTTGGGGCACCGGATCTGTGATTGTCTGCGAGATCGGGCAAACTTGATGTTTGACAGCTCGTCTGGCCCCGCGTGATGGGTCCAAGGTACATAGTACTAATACCGGTGCTAGTGCTATACTACAGGAACTTGGAACTTGCCGATTAAAGCACGTCATGCAAATGTGAGTTTGACAAGCTGGATCGTGGGACGAACCGCTGCCCTTCCGTTTCTCCGACCGTGGGTGGTTGGAGACTCGTGGAGGGGGCGAGGCCTCCAGGTCTCAAATGAACTTACTTGAGAGTCAAAAGCTGTCCTCGTGGCGTTCTAAGACCGAAGATATTGAGGCACTCGAGATACTTAGTTCCGTTCTCTCAACGGTTCCCCAGGTTCCCCAGGTTCCTCAGGTTCCTAGGCAGCCCTGCACGGGCGTTCTGCTAGACCTGGTGTACTGATAGGTTATCCACCACGTTGTTACGATCTTTTTGACAGGGGAGGGGCGGGGGAGGCGGGACTCACGCACGTTACAAGGGTACTTCAACTGGAGGATAGAGTGAATATGTGATGGAGCTCATAAATGATAGATGGATACATGATAGATGGATACAGTGATAGGGCCAGATGAAGAAACATTGTTTGATTCCAAGTTGTAAGACTATCTTTGTAGGGTTCTCATCATCATAACAGGCACTGGATCAGTCAGACTATTGTTTTCTTGGAATTCCTGTTCATATGGCCATGGCAGACCACGTTTGTTGTATTGATATCGCCGACGAAAGCGATATCTACCTGATTTCGGTCTGGACCTCGGTGCTTCGGTGGAAACCCTTTCTTCTCAGCCACTTGCTGACATGCTGAAAAATTTTCTGTTCTTTGACATCTGGCCAATCAGTGTTGTAGCCTTTGAATATGTTATGTCTGCAATTCAGTATGTTGTGGCAATCTTTGACTTTACTGGGCTACCTAGGTCTTAAACAGCAGAGCAGGAAGAACTACAGCCAAATCCGTTGGCAAGGAAGTATGAGGACTTTAATGCTGCCAATGTACGAAAGGCTTTGTTGAGTATAGACAGGGTGTGCGGACTTGAAGTTTCTCAACACCTGATGACTTTGTGCCACCTTTCACGGGATGGCTGAAGTATGGGGTTTCATAATTCGGCGAACACGGCGTCAGTATTAAGTAGGTTGAGGAACGGAGCGTTAATCAATGTCTTTGAAATCACGTAAGCGAATTAGAAAAGCAGCAACACAAAAGGTTGCACTGGTTTAGGGCGGGGAGAGGTCGGAGGACAGGGCCGGTCGGTGGGGCCGCCACGGCAAGGGACGGATATGCCGGAGGTCGGCCCTGTGTACCTTACTAAAGCGTCTCACGGCTACGGGGTACCGTTGGCGGTCAAGGATCAAGTAGTTACCTAATCAAGTGAGGTAAGAACGGCACTGAAGCGGTCTTTCGGCCTCTATACGTATCATTGATCCGACAGACGACTCGGACGACGACTGATATAATTCCTGTGCCAATTCCAAACTTCGTCCTGGCGTTGGCTTCAACAGATCAGTATCAATAGCATGTGATAAAATGTTCAAGTAGAAAGAGTTCACCACCGGTATGGCTATTCTCCTGGCGATTGTTATAGTGCTCATGTTGGGATTGGAGCCTGTCGAGGTAGGCTATGTGGCGATAATTGATTGTTGACCTTTTAACCATTCCACCATCTAGCCAAGTTTGACCTGACCCGCCGTCCTAGACGGGCGCCTGCTTGCTGGTGACGGGAATGGAGTTGAAGAGGGGTATATGCCCTTCTCGCGTAGTCGGATGAAAGATGCAGCGTCATGTGTGGAAGATACGCTTATCACCGTCAGGAAAAGGGGGAAGGAGCTGAGTGGGTTGAATCCATGGCAAGCTGCTTCCATCGAAGCTGATGAGTGTAGTGCCGGCGACGGAATGCCTTGGAAGTTGCCTCCGAGAGATGTACGGTATAGTAATAAATGGTGACAGAGATTGGCGCTCTAGACCTCAGTCGGTTCGAACATCTATATTGATACGACGCTGTGGCTGCTGCTCAAGTCTGTTCTCTTCCATTTAGTGGCTACGGTCCCAGACTTTTGCAAATAGCCTGAAGTGTCACGTATATGCTCGTTTGCTAAGTATGTACCTAATTACCCGGCGCCGCCGGACACATCGCCACAATATAAAGCGACCTTGGATCTCTCTGGGCTTCTGACCGCTACCTTGATTGAGATTTAAACTAGCTATGTTGTATTTGGCAAGTCTCTTCTGGATGACCGATGCATGATACGGTTTTAGGACAGTCTATAAAAGGGGCCCTTCGCAAGATGTATGCCATCTGACGAAGTTGGTCGCAGCGAAACAAATATCCTCACGGGTGTTCCTTAATAAACTCATATTCCGTAAGCTTGGCAATTCATAAAAGCCAACATGCTTCCATCCGCCGCGCTTCTGATAGCCTTGATCGGCTCCGCAGCCGCTCTACGCATCAAAAGCGTCACCCACAGCGGACCAGCTTGTCCCCAGACCGACAGATTGACTTGGTCCGGCGGCCTGGACGATCTGACCATCACCCTCCCCGACTTCAGCGAGACTCTAGCTGCCGGCCAGATGACGAGCTGTCAGGTGCACCTGCTCATCGACGAAGGCGAGCCAGGCAAGTCTCTGCTCCTACAGGATGTTATGCTCAGTGGGGGTCTTTACCTGAGCTCCAACACCAAAGTCGATTTCTACACGACGGCGTATTGGTCTGAGACGGCCTCCGATACTGTGAGTTTATTGTCCATGCTTATTGGGTGTTGGGCAGAGGAAAGGATGCTGACTTGTGGGGAAAAGGTCACCAAGTCTACGAGCACGGCGTCTGGCTCCACGGCTGTTTTCCGGAACGTGGAGGTGGCTCAGCGTGTGAACTCGGTGTCTCCTTGTACTGGTGGCGATGGCTACGTCGGGATACTGAATGTGACTTTCCGCATCATCTCCCAAGGCGGGGGGTTGGTTATCTTTGGTAAAGAACGCAAGGATGGTGCAACTTCTCCGGTCACGGAATCACTGGCTCTTAAGTGGCAGAGCTGCTAGATACGGTTGTGTATAGAGGGCAAAGAGGCAAATGGTGGTGAGATTGAGGAGTTGGTGTTGCCGGAAAACTGCCGTGGGCGTCACTTGCAATGAAGCTAGCACTGAATGCAAGTCCAATATTACATGGGACAGGAAGGCACGCATTAATTACCAATGTGCTTCATCGACTATCGAATAAGGTCTTGTTGTACAACACATTACATTGCTACATGGAAGACGTGCGTCGGCATTTATAGACATGTTTCCAGTCTGTGCTGCCGCTGCTGACGCCATCCTGAGAATCGACCTGCCGTGGAACAGCACAATGTGAAGTTCCGTATCATCACTATCTCCCACCGGTCGAAACGCCAGTACGCCTTGAATCGTCGTCGTGAAAAGGCATCACCACATATGACTGATAGCCCTGCTCGAAGAGTTGTCGTTGCCAATGCTATGTAAGCCGCCAAGAACGGTCGGTTCTCAATAGAAATCGTCGTCACGTATCCACCTAAAAACCGGGATGTGGGCGAATGCCATTACGTCTGCCCACGACGCATCCCGCGGGGCGCAATCGGAGTCGCCGACAGATCGTCGAAGGAAAGAAAAAAACAATCAGCTTCGTCGGTATAACGCGTCGCGCGTCTAGTGGATATCGTTCGTTACAGTCGTAATTCGTAGCAGAGGGACGCCTCAGCATGAGCCTTCGGAAACCATGCGATCCTGGCCTCCAAAAAATGAGAAAGCTCGAAAAAGTATTGCCATACTCCCAATGGGATTTCTCATCTCGTGGGCAAGAAGTTCTTGGAGTCACTCTCCTGCTCGGAAAAGGATTGAGGGAAAGCGGCAAGACCTGCGACAATGGCGACGGCCATGAATGCGACGCTAATGAATGACCAGATGAGACCCCAGCAGCGAGAAGATCCGCCGTAGCGTTGAGCAAAGACGCTTGCATCGGAGCTGTTGACCTTGCGCATGATGAGATCGTCGCAGATATCCCATACGGAGTAGAGTGAACTCATGACTCCAATGAAGAGCTATTGGTGTGTTAGAATCTCACTCATCTCTAGTTACGCATAAAAAAGATGGAATGGCAGGCTTTGACTTACCACGACGAATCTGAGAGCTTGAGCGTGAGAGATGAACCAAGCCGCGACCAGCAGACCGACAGCGAGAAGAACCGTGAGAACCGTAAGCCAGTCCCGCTTTCCCCACCAAAGAGTCAACAAGAAGCATACGCCAAGAACCATGGAGGCAACTTTGGACGCGTTGATGTTGAAGCCGCAAAAGATGAGCAGCCCGCCGATGAGCGATGAACCGAGATAGCCCGCGGGGAGGGTGATGGCCTGCTTGCCGCCCTTCATGAGCGTGGCGCCGCCCTCGTTGGGGTCGAGGGTGATGGAGAGGACCTTGCCGCCGGTACAGCAAGCGGTGATGGCGTGACCGAATTCGTGAAAGGCGATGACGAGCATCTTGAAGGGCCAGAGGACCTGGCGCAAGAAGGGGACGTTCCAGAGGATGGCGATGATGACGGCGTAGGCGCCGATGACGCCCAGGGTAACGGCCTGAGTGTGGTTGACGGTGAGATCACGGCGGGCGAGGGCGTGCTTGGTTGTTGCGCGGGCGACTTCGGGGAGGACAACGACGGCGGCTCTCTTCCAGACTTGGTTTGCGATGGCACCGGCGCGAGCGAGGCTCTGCCTGGCCGTTGTTGGAGGGACGGGGGCCATGGTGAAGTTGTGGTTGTTTGGGTTTTGTATCAATAGCGACAGACTGGGTGTGGTGGTTTTGGTGACAGCGAGTGAGTAAACACAAGAAAGAGAGGGCCAAAAGTGTATCCTGTAGGAAGCGAGAGTTTTCTTTATGAATAATCACAGAGAATTGGTACTTGGCAATCCGATCATAGGAAATGCCTGTGTATTACGACAGATACGTAAACAAGCTGGTAAGTTGCAGGGCTTACGTGGAGGTGGTGGGCTGGGCTGAGGCTGGGCCGCATTCCCCCTGTTTCTCCTTTTTTTCTTGTCTCTTTCCCAGGCTTGCCAGGTTCTTCAGCTCACAGGTGGGTGGTCTTTCTTGTGGTCGGCCTCTCGTCTGAACTCCAGTATTTCCTCAAGCACAGACAGACAGGCTTGGCTGGGGGATGCGCCTTGGACGGCCTGGGATCTGAACCAACTCTGACAGGCCTTGCTGTGCCTGGCTGTTGCTGCTGCTGCTGGCAGATGAAAAGGGGTCCACACGGCCCCACCCCGGGACCCGGCACTGATGCTGAGCATTGGCACTGCCACACTGCGACATGTGCCGCTGTTGTCGTGGCAGTGGTCGCGGTCGTGGTGGCTGGGCAAGAGCCGGTCTCTCTATTTTTGGAATGTGTGGCTCTAGGTCACGTGATTCAGGGAGAACGATATGTGGCTGATGTCTGTGGCCTGAGTCAATTCAACCAACAAACCAACAACCATTACATAAGGCAACAGGAACCGCAAGGTTCGATATTTATGCAAGTGGACGGTTTGGCTTTCACGTTTCACCCAACGAAAACATGACGTCTCTCACAGAGTCACAGTAACGGTGCTGGTGCGGTGCAACTCCTGCGCCGGCGGCTCAACAGTGTCTGCCGCAAAGTAACTAAAGTCGTTAGAGGTGCTTACTGTTTCCTGCCTCGGCCTCCGAATACGAGCACCCTACCTTAATACTTCCCATACCTTAGTAGCCGCGCGCGGGGTTTCCCAACCATCTTGTCTCGGAGAAGAATGTGTGGCCTGTTCCTCTGTTCCTAATACCTTAATGCTCCTACTGGCTTAGAAGCTTTCCCCATCTGATACCAAGCTCCCAAAGCCACCAACACAGCTGTCCATTTCTGGTCAATTCTGAATGCCAATCTATCTCATTTGAGAACCAACCAAAGTTACACCAGTCCTCAATCATATCGTGATTGACTTCATTTCTTTGCTCGCTTTAGATCTTATTAGTCCTGCATCGACGACAATATGGCCGCTGCAGTGGACACCTCCAACACGGAGCTCAGCAAGCAATATGACACCCCCATGGGTCTGGCTCACTCGACTATGCAGGCTCTCAAGGACAGAATCAAGCTTCATTATGACCTCGCGAGTGACTACTATCTGAGTCTCTGGTAAGCTACCACTGGTCCTCTCTCTCATCCACCGTGCGCGCGCGCTCTGTGACGTGCAATTGAGGCACAGCGCCCTTTCACACTCTTGATAGACTGCATCTAGTCTGTGCCCTCATTCCCCTCCATCAAGTTCCATACAGCGTGGCCATCTTCGTCTAAGCTGACGTGCACTGTCTTCAGGGGTGAACACATCCACCACGGCTACTGGGAAGACGGCTCCGAAACAAAGGAACAGGCCCAGGTAAAGCTCATCCAGCTCCTCCTCCAGCTCTCCGGCGTCGGCGAGAACAGCAACGTCCTCGACGTCGGCTGCGGCATCGGCGGCACCTCCCGCTACCTCGCCTCCACACTCGGCTGTTCCGTGACGGGCATCACCATCTCCACCAAGCAGGTCGAGATCGCCAACAGGCTCACAAAGGCCGAGGCGGAAAAGCAGGCGCCAGAGACATCTGACAAGGCAAAAGAAATCGAAGCCGACGCCGATGGCTTCGTTCCGCTCGGCCGCGGCAGGATCCGCTTCATCGAGCTCGACGCCGAAAAGATGGGCGACTTCTTCGCTGGGCAGAGCGCTTCGTTCGACGCCGTGTGGATCAGCGAGGCGCTGAGCCATTTCCCCAACAAGGCGCTCTTCTTTGAGAATGCGTTCAAGGTTCTCAAGCCCGGTGGGAAGCTGGCCCTGGCGGATTGGTTCAAGGCGGAGAATGTTACTGAGACGGAGTTTGCGAACGATCTCAAGCCGATTGAAGGTATGTTAGCCTCTCGCATGGCAAGGAACTGAATGTTGACTGGCTTCGCCATCAGACGGCATGCTTCTCCCGCCGCTTTGCACCCAGCAGGGCTACGTCGATTTTGCAAAGGGCGCTGGGCTTTCCTTGCTCGCGGGCCCAAAGGATATCAGCAAGGAAGTGAGCAGAACTTGGTGAGTTGTCATGCAATATCAAACCATGAGGAGTGACCGCGAGTAACACTTGTTGAGGGACATCACATGGACTCTGGTCCAAAACCCTTCTCTGTGGGCCTTTGCCTTTAGTCAGGGCCGGGACGGCATTGCATTCTTGCAGTCCTTCCGCGCCATGAGGCGTGGGTATGCTAATGGAACCTTCCGATATTCTGTAATTTCTTTCGAGAAACCGAGCGAGAAAGCGTAGGAAGGACATCAAAGTTACAAGTTGACATGTGTGTAGCGTAGCTGATGGCTTGATAAAGAACGATGGAGTCAGACCAGACAGCCTCTTACATGATACAGGAAAGTTAGTTAGTACACATTCACTTTGTTAGGTCTGAAGGGGAACATAACAGCATGTTTCATCAACGTCGTCAACATGTAATTCTCAGGGAGTTCTGTCTATGACAATGGTATTGCTAGCTGCATGGGTAACCCAATCGATCCTCAGCCGTAAACTCATCGAAAGTACATATCCACATTACAATGTCTTTGGTAAAATCCTTGTCCTCAAAAAGATGAATTCGAGCTGGTCAGATAACCACCCTAAATGGCACCGAGGAAGCCTGTCCTCTTGCCAACAATTGAAGCCTAGCATGATCTCAACCTGCCAGATCAGGGACTCACAAACTCGTCAATGTTAACTCGCTCAAAGAAGCTGATATGTCCAAATCCGACCCAGTACTGAGCAAGTCGGTCGTGGGAGACGAGCATAAGCTGAGACTCGATATACTTGTCTGGAGGAAAATGGTTAGCATACGTCCAAAATCGTCTTTGGAAAAGGTAAAATACCATCTAAAAAGCCCGTTCCAGCGACATGTCCTTTACTCCTGACGACTCGTGTGCCCTGAAACGGTGGTTCTTGGGCAATTCCAACGAAGCCAGCCTCGCCCAAATCGTCCGCGACGAAAGTATACTCCCCTCGCGGAACATTCGGGTCGCCAGTGAGTTTGATTGCTTCAAGACGGCCCCGGTATACTCTCGCGTCGGTACGACGCTTCGTCCACTCTAACTCTGATTCGTCAGAGCCACGGACAAGACCAAGTTCCTCATCCGACACTTCTTCGTCATCGGGCTGGTTGATCAACAAGAATTCGCACCCGTGCCCGCTGTAATCTCCAACCCAGATACCTCGCCATGGTTTGAGCTCCGTTGGGGTGTAGACAACAGGATCGAGGGTTGAATATGTAATCACTTCTTCGCCAATGCGTACGCCGGTAACGCCAGGAGTACCCATACCCATGTTGGCTTGGATAGCTTGAATGATACCCACAGGCCCAGGCCCGAGGAAAAGACCCGGTGTTGGAGACCCGGCCATTTCCATCCACTGCCGAATCCGGAAAGCCTGGTCCGAGGCTTCAGCTCTTCTCGTCGGTTGGTCGCCAGGGGCAAGGTCATCACCATCCAAACCAGAAATCACACCCGACACCCTGTGGCGGGCAGGAATGGCCGGTGGAGGCCAGACATTCCCATAAGGAAACACGCCATCCATTCTTGACGTAGCAATTGAGGCGTCAAGAGGGCGAGCCATCATAAAGTTGCAAAACATAGCATCCATTGGGTCATGAATTGACATCGGTACCTCTGGCAGAAATCGTTGACCCAAACTGCCCAACAATCCCTCGTCTTCGGCTGGGCGGCGAGCATGGAATTGGAGTACCGGCTTGTCCAGATGAAGTTTGACCTGAGGTTCGAAGGCGTGTATAATCACACTGTGGTCGGCGGGCCAGTGCTGATATGTAGTACGGTTGCTGACAGCCAACAACTGATATCCTTCAATGCAACCCCTCCGCTGGTCATATCTGATGATCATCATCTTGCCCATGAGATCGCGGTCGCAGAACCAGATCTTGTACTTTGGCAGAAACCATCTTGGGTCGTGTGCGGCGTAAAGTTCGCGGTATGTGCGGCATGGATAGGGAGTTGTGACCTTCTCTCCAGGCACATTGGCTTGTACCCTTTGATACCAGTGAATATCGGACGCAGCGTGGGCGTGGAGGGTTCGGCAGGTCTCCGCTACGATTGCCAGGTCGCAGGGAGGCAAATAGGCGAGGATCGCATCGATGAGTTCGGAAGGAAGCGCGAGTAGGCGGCAACTGTTGTCTGAAGGCAGGGAAGGCAAAGCTAGCACAGCAAAGACGGGTCAGTCGGATATATCAGAGATTAAACAAGGATCGTTGGCATACTACCTGAGGCCGCAATGTTGAAGTCAGAAGGAAGGGGATAGTAGTCTTCCCTTGAGCTTCCAATTGTTTTCCGGTGATCTGTGGCATCGCTGCGAAGTCCTTCTTCAGATACGTAGGGTAAAATGTAGAGGTTTTCCTCAACTTCGGGGTCGATGCCACCGTAATTGCTACCGCTGGCGGTTGACATGGTGTCGTGAGTTGGCGCATCCGAATCCGCGGCGGAGGTTGAGGGCGAGGGAGGACTCGTAGCCATTTCGCAATTCGTATCCATGCCTCTTCAGAGAAAAGAATTGCAACGTTGAACAGCGTTTCGAGGGCTCCAGAGTGTAAAAGGGGGGCGAACTGTTCTTGTGGCTTGTTGGGCGATCCAATACTCTGTCACGAAGGTTTGGCGAGTGGCTGCAATGAGAGTATGCAGCGGCGGGGGTTATTGTTCGGGCTAGAAAGCAATGTTGCGGACGAGAACGCTTCGGGGTGATGTGATATTGGCGCTGCTTGCAGCATGTGTCAAAATGTGTCGATGTCTCAACGACTCCAGCGGTAAGTCTAAGGTATCACGGAGGTTCGGGTTGCCCAAGGGTGGTGCATATAGGAGTCGTCAGTGCTCGCAATGTTGGGGTCATGACTCCAGGTTTAGTCTCCACGTCTCCGACCAGCCGGGGTGAGGGTGTGTCGGGTGCGTGCGTGTATGCAACAATAGCACGAACTTTTTGGTTGCGGTCGCGGACGGGCCAGAAGTTCCTCTTTGCGACCCCCGGTTACGGCGCATAGCTAATCCACCCCAGGCTCAAGCCGGGGATGATGGAAAGCAGCGATGACAGCACGGTCGACAGCAGTAGCGGTAGTATGTAGCAGCGGCAACGACAGCCGAGGCGGGGCAGAGAGTTTGGCGTGGTGGGTGTAGGGATGGTTACTTGGTAGTGCCAATAGAGCTGGCTAGCGGTTTAGATGCTTGGAACGGCCAACCATGAGCAGTCGCGTGCCGGAGAGGATGGATAGATGGATCTAGATTCCGCAGGCGTATGCGACAACATGCGGCTGGATGTGCCGAGACAGATGATGGATGTCGAGGACTCAAGAGGACGTTGCGGTAAGGTTGGTCGGGACCAGGTTCAGGTTCCAGGTCAGGGTCGGTGGTGCAGACGGATATAGGACCGAAACAGACAAAAGGGCCTTGGTTCAAGCAAGGTATGCCGCCATCGCCGTCTCCGGGCCACAGGACTAATGCAGCGCCAACCGGTGACTGGAACCTGGACGGGGGGAAACTTGAGGGATGAATGGAATGTTGTGCCCGGAAGAGGAAGGGGGTTCGTCCGTAGCCAACGACGTTGATGTGTGTAAGGTGCTGGTAAGGTGATTCTCCAGGTAGGATGCCTATCCATTAGTGCCGTTGTGGTCGACCGTGGAGGTGGAAGTCCAAGAATAGATGCGGATATTACTGTGCCTGCCACGCCGGTGGTGCATGTGGAAGCAATGCGTGTTGCTGCAGCATCTCGACCAGCTAGCTAGCGCAGGCAAGCTTGCTCTGCTCTTGCATCTCGTCTCATGAGGTGCTCGCAGCCCGAGTGAGGTAAGGTAGGGATATTTCGATGACCGTGTGAGGATTACTGCAGCAGTGCAGCTGTAGGTAGCCCAGCATGCTGTGCCGCAAAGGGGAGCCAAGACCCAGGCATGACCATCGAGTCGCGTCTTGATCCTTGTGCGTTGGAAAGGTGAAGTGCAGTGGGCTGTGGGCTGTGGTGCACCGTCAAGGGTCAGGCACCTCAGGTACCGAGAACCGGAACCGGAATGGAAGCGGATTGCGGGGACGAAGGAGCTGTTTGCTGACTAAGGCAAGGTACGTAGCTACTCGGGATGAGGTCAGTGACCTTAGGGTCTGTCGCTTATCGGGTGACGAGAGAGACAAGATAAGAGACCTCCCGTCACCTCCCGTCCCGTCCAGTTCAGGCTTCCATCCACAAGGTACCGTAAGAGCTCGGATCAATAACGCCATCGCCTAGGTTTCTACCCAACCAGCCACCCGACTGACAATTCCAGCTTACCTACGATCGCAAAGCACCCGCCTTGATGTCGGGCCAAGATAAGCACCTTGACTTTGGGCCCGAAGCGAGGCTGGTCAGGAGTATCTGTCGTGCTTGGGTGTATCTGTGAACAGATTCCTCTCACTCAACTACCTTACCTTGATACCTGCGCCAACTAACTACTATTTACGGCTACACTCATCCCTTCGGCTGTCCGGCGCATTGCAGGAGATCGTCGCTGTTTATTCCGACCATTCACGAGCCTAGCCTTCAAATTGGCTTCAACCCACCTTTGCCTAGGTAAGGTAGGGGAAATTGATATGCCCAAAGACTGCACCAGATGATTACTAGGTATGGAGCAAAGAACCCCCCAGTTCTTGCGCGTATCTTTTGCGCTTGTTCAACGGCCAATGCATCACATTGGTCAAGCCAAGAACGTGCCATGCTCTCTCCAACTTGCTCTCACATTATCCATACATCTCGCCGCAAAAGGGCCTGAGGATTCTGACCTATAGCAAATGGCCTATCTGGTCTCGATTGAATCCACATGGCTTCAAAAAGTCCCAGCCAAGGCTTGTCGGACAGGAACCTTTGCGGCAAGCCAGCAATGTGCTTTCATTGGCTGTGTCGTAACTCTAGTTGAAGGCAGTGTCTATGGGAACAGAACTCGGGTACGGAGCATTCCAGGCTTCATTCAATTGCACGTCTTCCAAATGATCTCTTTCCCTCTTTCTTTGTGTTTCTACCTAAGGATGGTGCCTATCTTATAGATATATGTAATTAGAAAACATAGTCTCCTAAACAGGTCTACTAGTTCCCCTACCCAATTAGGTAGGTAGGTGGTTCCTCGTCCCCTCCTTCCTCTTCTTCCATTTCTCGCTCATTGCAGGGACAGGAATCTCCCTATGACACCCCCGCCGCCACCGCCATCAACCTGAGGACTCGGGAGGCATTAATCCTTGATTTACCACCAACAACAACCACAGCTGCCTGTTACCACGAATTCAACAGACTTTCGGTTCCATCGCTGGATCTCGCTTCGGCATACCGCACTTTTTAACCAATACGGAGGTTACAATTTTCGCGAAACAAGATTCAACTTAATTTCAACGAACCACAACATACGACCACGGCAGAATAGATGGGTATCCACATCAACCTATACGTCTATACCATATCCCCAGAACGTTGTTGATACTACCTTTTCACCGTGCCATACGGAAATATCCAGACCTTGCGCCGTTCATACTTGCTCGATCCACTGCCGGAGCTTCCCCTAGTTCCCACCTCACCTAGTGATCCGTCCGACGTCTCCTTCCTACTTGGTAATAGCTTCCGCCCGCCAGTGGGAAGGTTGTCTTCGCCCTCACCCAATATCCTACAATTCTACGGATACTCGACTCAGATCTCGCTGCTCACCAAGCGGAACACCCAACTACGGCCATTCAACCTTTATTCCCCCCTCTCCGCAGCCGGACCAGCCGAGACCGGCCAGATCATAACGGAGCACGCCAGCAGACCAAGGAACCGCCGGGATATTGGAAACCCGCTCCCTCGCTCGCGCGCGCGCCCCTTGCTCAGGCTTGCTGCCTTGCAGGACAGCCGACAGTCACCATGGCGTCCCTGATCCCACTCATCAACGACCTGATACCCATGATCGTTCCCTCGTCGGTATCCGTCACCAAAGCGACCACCCTCCGCCCTCCCAATGCAACTCTGAATCCCGCTTCTGCCAACGAGGCCGATGCCGTTGTCAGCAAAAGCGATAAGCTCTGCGCCTCCGGTAAGTCCAACTTGGTCTAGGATGCCGTCTCCCCTGCCACTACGAGTACCTCTATTCCTCTCTCTTTCTCTGTATTCGTATGGGATCTGCTCTGGCATCACCCAGCGCCTTTCCCGCCGCTTTTCCTAGCTGCCGCGACCTGCCTGGGACCGCCAACATACCCGCCATAAGGTAGCGTCGCAACCGAGAACTGTGTTGCTGGTCATAGAGTAACAAGGCTCAAGTCGTGTTTGTCATGATTCCATTAACCCTGTCCCATCGCATGGTCTTGTGTCTTGTTCACTGCCACGTCTTCTTCAACTAACTCGAGTAGTCATTACTTTGAACCCACATGCGACATCGGCTATCCGCCATCACGGAGAGCAAGGTTAGGATTAATCTTTTCCCCCCTTCCCAACCCACCATCTCTTTCTTACGCGTTTGCGACTTATTGTCGCTCTCTTGGCGGTGTATCTCTAATGCTTGCCAAGATACCATTCTCTACATGGCTTCCGGGATCGGCATCTTGCTAGTTAGTCCTGGTGCAGGACAAGATGTAAAGCGGCACGAGCTGTCCTCGGGTGATTTTGCATTCATTCCGTCCTGGACAGAGCACCAACTACTCAACGAGTCAGATCAAGATACCGTGTGGGTCATTACTCGCAGCGGTTCCCAGCCGGTCACGGTAGGCTTGACGGATTGGGGAGGTGACCGGGCGAAGTAACCCATATGCCATCGCTCGGTCGTGGAGACGGACTCCAACTCTAGGCGGCTGGCCGCATGCTCGATGTGTGGCAGCAGCAGTAGCAGCAGCAGCAGCAGAAGCATCACATCGGGCACTACTCGAAAAGATTAACTTCGCAGGACACGTGTGAAGTGTGGCTTTCCCGGTGGGATTCCGCCAATGTCATGATATCTATCGAGTATCTCTATCTTGCTTCGTCATCGCCCCATATGGCACCCACGATTCGCGCTATAGCCCTGGGGGAATCAAAGACCTGGGCGTGGTCCTTGTCCGGAAACCAAAGGATGTCGATGCCTGACCCAGCGGAACGGTGACTCTCGTAGCCCATGCCCGATATGGGTGCAGCCTTTGGTCCGGCAACGTCGCGCCGGCCATGCTCGCCTTGCAACCATGCGGGGTGTTCCGTCTGCTGGCCCTGACCCCCCTCGGCCAAATACCTGGCGACGGCGTGGCTGTCGACAATGAGGTCCAGCCCGGACAGGCATACGGTGACCTGCCTCGCTTCCTGCCGCTCGACGCCTACCGATTCCGATCCTGCTGTGCGACCAACCAGTTCGTCAGCCCAGATGGCGTTCTCCCTCCAAAAGAAGTATCTGCCGAGGCAGTGGGCGACTCCGGGGTCCATGCTCGCAAAATACCACAGCTGCCACTCGTTTGCGGTCGACGGCGCACGTCGTGTGAAGTTGTAAGCGACGTCGGGCAGGTGCAGGAGGATGCTCACGGGGTCAATGAGCACGGCCCGCGGGATCCTAGCCTGCAGGTCTGGGCATCGCATGGCATGGGTTGACAAGATGGAACCGTACGAATGGGAGACGAGGGCAAACTTGTCCCAGGCGTGATGGTTTACTATCTGCTTGAACTGTCGAAGGAAGACCTCCTTGCCCAGCGGTGGGTCAGTTAGTCGGAAGGAGACGGGCAGGATTTCGATGGCGATGACACCTGTCCGGCCGCGGCCCCTAATTCTCATGGTGGTGATCTCGGCGAGAAAGCGGACGTAGGGCCACAACCCGATGCCGATGCCGTGGAGGAAGACAACCGGCAGACCTTCTGCGCGATGGGGGCGGTGCCAGTAGCTCAAATTACCGGCCGAGGACCGCCTGCTGGCAAAGACCTGTTGGAGACGAGGTGGGAAAATGGCCTTGTCCTTTGGCTGCGCGTAGTACTGGAACCCGTAGAACCACAAGGAGAGGTGTGTGACGTGGTCCAAAAAGGCCATGATGGCGTACCACCAGACGGTGCGGTACTTTGTATCTACGGAATCGATGGTCAGGCGCAGACACTTGGCCGGCCCGCGACCGGGCTTGAAGGGCCTGCCGAGCAGACGTTCACTGCGGGTTATATACTGGTCCACCTCCACGTCGTAGTTCTCCCCGTCCCTTGCGCTGGCCCGCCCGACGTCCTTTTCGCCCATGTCAAAAAAGGCCCAGAGGAGAAAGTCGCGGACGTTGTCGCGGTGGATGTCGGCCATGTCGGCACCCAGAAACCACATGCGGACGTAGCGCTCAAAGTCTGGGATGGTGGCCATGCACCGCTCAAAGAGGGCCAGGCGGTCGGCGGGCGAGGAAGGGCTCGGGTGCGAGGCGGGTTCCCTGAGGCGCTTCGTGTAGGGGAGCCAGATGAAGAGGGCGTAGATGAGTTCCGTGGCTGCCATGCATGTTGTGACGGCGGCGGTTGTGAGCCATTTCGACGAGGAGGAGGAGGAGGAGGCTGCGTAGTTTGCGCCAAGGAGGCTTGCGAGGAGGAGGGCTGCGTAAGGGAGGATTGGGTAGCGGAGCGGTACTATGCAGGCGCGTATGAATATGTACTCGTGAAGCGTGCGGCCGAGCATCCTGGAGTGGTGTTGGTGTTGTGAGGTTTATTGTCGGCTGGTGATGATGGTAATGATTGGCATGAATGAGAGGCTGGCGGTTGCTCGTCGCCGTTAGTGTAAAGATGATGCCGTACCGTTTTCTTATCTATCAAAAGACAAACGAATAGAGAATCGGAAAGTGATGGCCATGTATAGATGCAAACAGAGCATGTTCTTCCTCGGTCCCCCGGGCTTGAAGCGAGTAATACTACAAGTACTGGAAACCCTTCTTCGCGTGATGTTCAGATTTCGTTGGGGATCATCCGAATCACGCGGTACAAAAAAGGTGTACTAAGATAATGTAGACGACCCGGCGAGCTAAGGCAGGGGATGGAGGGATGGAGCAGCGGTGGATTGGATGACAAACGAATCGCAAACCTGTCGTGCCCCTGTTCTTTTCTCCAAGTTTGCCTCCAAGACGCTTCTGTTTTTTCATCCGAATTATCTGTAGCTAAGGAATATTGGCATCTGGAAGTCGCCCCAATATCCGTGTGCTATAAGCTTACATACTACTGTGTGTAAGTATCTCATAGACACCGGACAGGACTTTGGATTGGGGGAATTGATGGTAACCCCTGGGGAAATCATAGCGCTGATTGGTCCATTGGATACCAAGCTTCAATCAAAGAACGCTCCAATGCCGGTGAAACGACCCATCTTCTCAACGTGACTGTGACATTCCACTATTTAACTCTATCGTTTTATATTACTAGAGGATTGCCGCAGTATATATAAACGCTACCCTGCCCTTAAATTCCGTACTATTTAACCTTAACCTTTTTTATAAGTTACCTATCCTTTTTTTTATTTTACCCTCTCCCTCGTTAAGGGATCGCTAAAATCGTAGTTTTAATAATTCTATAAGAGATTAGGCTATGAGCACTTAACTAGCGAGGCTATAATATAGGTATAGGTATATTATAAGACTAAAGCTTATAGAGTCCTTCGTATAGGCTCTGCTTCTTAGAAAGTTCTTTCGTAATACGATCCGTACACCGGTCGCTAAGTTATCGGCGTCCTATCGCCGGCCGCATCCCAAATCTATTATAAATTTATTAATAAGCTAGAGTTATTATTTAAAAATAAATAACTTACTTTTATATATAAGCGTTAAGAGTTTTATTATTATAAAAATAATAATAGATATACTAAAGTATTTAAAAGAGCTTTTTAATAAACTTTTAATACTATTTAAAGCGATTATCCTCGAGCTATAAAAAAAAGCTAAGGTATTATATTAATATAACCTTATCCGTTTTATTAGTATTAATAATATCTTTTTTAATATAAAATATATTAATAATACTTTATAGCTATATTATTATACTTCGTAAATCGTACTTAATATTAGCAAGGTTTTTAATATTATTTACTAAGTTTTTTATTAAAATCGTTATTATAAGATTAGTTTAGTTATTAATATTTTAATAAGTATTTTAACTTAATTTAAAAGCTCTTATAGTTCTTAGAAAAAGATTTTTAAAAAACTTATAATTAAACTTTTTATTTATTATAAGCGAAGTTATTATAATTAAAACTATAGTATTATTTATAAATTTTAATAATAAATAGTTAATAATATAGTTATTTTTTTTTATAATAAGCTTAAAAAAGTATTTTAATTTAAGTACTAAATAAGTACTATACTATTTTATTAAAACTATATTCTTATACTTATAACTTAAAAAGAATTAACTTTTTTTAATAATAAGGTACTTAGACTATAATATTTATAAGAATTGACAGGCACAGACAAGACTTGCGCGGATTGTCGCGCGTCAAGTCGCCTTGCCGAGGTTTCTTCTGCCCATCCGTCACCGTTGATTGACGTGCATGGCAAAGAGCCTCATCTTCACGTGCTTCAAGGTAGTGTGGTAATGTCATACCAATCGTTTCTTTTTGCAAGTTGTGTTACTGCGCACATGCAAACTATTCGTTTCTGTTATGCAGGTCATGAAAATCATTACCTAGTCAAAATAGAATCTGTCCGATGTTCCGGCCCTCAACAACAATTTCTCCCCGAATGCCCTTTGCGCGCTTCACCCCAATGGACTCCACGACTGGCCCTGATACCGGTGGTCTTCTTCAAGTCAGCGTCGGCGCCGACCATGCAGCATAGTCCTTCACGTTGACATTCACAGTGCTGCGCTCGAGAATGGACGGCTTGGTCGCGGAGTTGAGCAGGAAGTAGTTGATATACTGCGTCAACTCGGCATTCTGCCCGCTCGGGAACGAGCAGTGGTTATGCCCGCCGACCAAAGAGAACCCCATATTCTCCGGCACCCCGAGGGCCTGGTAAATGAGCCTCCCGGCCTTCATGCAGCCCGTCGTCGACACGGGGCCCAGCCAGTCGATATCGTTCTCCGCCACGTACAGCCCGCGCGGCGCGACGAGTCCGGCCAGCAGGTGATGGTCCTCGGGCACCTGCGACGACCTCGTCGCCCACGTGTTGAAGAGGGGCGAGAACCAGACGTTCTCCCCGACGATCTGGCTCGACGTCTGTATGTTTTTCCCCTTGGACTTTTCGCTGTCCGAGATGCGCCAGCACGCCGCGCCGCCCGAGCCCGACTCCTGCGGGATCGTGAGGGCGATGCGCTTCTCCAGCGCGCCGACGACGAAGGCGCCTTTGCCGTTGCGCGAGCAGCCCGTCACGCCTAGCCTCTTTGTGTCGATGCCCGTTTGGGAGGAACCGAGCTGCTCGAGGCCGTCGATGAGACGGCCTACGCCCCATGCCCACGCCGTTAAGGCGCCCGCGCTGTGCTGCTGCCCGAAGAGGGTGTAGAAGAGGCCTTGGCCTCTGCTGCTTTGGCCGTTTTGCGCGGCGAAGGCGTCGTTGCCAAAGGTGATTTGCGCGACGGTGCCGGGGATGGGGATGCTTGCGCCGCCGACGCCGATGATGGCGGGGAAGGGACCCGTGCCGGAGGGCTTCGTGACGGAGGCGGTCATGCTGATGCTCTTTGTGCCGACGGTGACTTTGACGGTCAAGGTGTTGCCCGAGAGGGAGGCCTCGACCTTGTCCGGGGGCGGGGGGAAGTCTCCGAGCTCGTACTGCTCAAAGGCGTTTTGGATTTCGGTGGCGCGGCAGGCCCAGTCGGCTTTTGTTGTGACTTTGGAGCCGTCGGCAAAGGTAAAAGGGTCTGGGAGCTTTGCGTCGTTGACGGCTGGGATGTTTGTCTTTGCTTTGCCGCAGTCGGCCTGCCGGGCGGAGAGTGTGTCGGCGGGCATGGCCAGGGCCGTGCCGGCGAGGAGGAAAAGCGAGGCGCGCAGAGCCATGACGGAATATGGAGAAAGAGATGATCTTGGGTTCAGGGGCAGGCTCGTGGTGCTGCGGATGAGACGAGCTTCAACGAGAATGCTATGGCTTGTTTCTTGAGATGATGTCTTCTTATGCTCATCATGATTCGGATCAACGGATGTCTGTTAGTACATAATGAGGACCCTATATGGCTTTCATTTAGTGTACATCATTTGGATAATGACGGGTGTTTCCAAAGAGCCTCCAATTAGCCGGCAATGCGAGCCCACGGGACTCCTGGAATCAAACCCAAGCGAGCCATGCGGCGCTTCGTTAAGCTTACTTAACTGCCGTCAACTTCCCCGCCGGCTACTTTCTAGCAGCTCTGTTTAATATGCCCAAGACAGCCGAAGAGATGGCCCAGATCGGAACGTGAGCATACTTTTGGCCCAGTTCGTTCAGTGCGACCCATAAGAGGCCAGTGAGGACTAGGCCAAGCAATGATCTGCACCGGCTGAATAGGAATAGTACGGGCCACAAGCGGAACAAGTCCAGCTTTTCAAATTGATGCTACCCACCTCGATGAGAGAGTTTGTGGGGTGTTGCAATGGCGGGCTAGATTCCGAAGTAGGAAGAAGTCCAAGAAGAGAAGTCATCGCGAAGTTGGAAAATAGAGCGGCGGCAGTGGCCGAGACGGATTGCACCGGGCCACCGGGGATGCGGAGTCGCGGACCCGACAGGCGGCCGGCCCTGGTGGGGCACTCTTTTTCTTCCCACCAACAGCCGCCGCCTGATTGGCTAAACATTTTCCAGAGCCCATCTGCCTCCGTCGCCCGGCTGATTCTCGATCTCTTACGTCTTTCAACCTCTCTCTCAATTCTCAGCCCACCACCCTCTTTGGCTCTCCGCGCAAACCGACGCTCCCAATCTCGGTCCACGAGCCCGCGCCAATCCCTGGCCAAACCACGTGTAGCGGAGCAATTCCTCCTCCGGTCTGCGAATCGCACGCCCCTTGACCACGCCTCGTCCCTCCTCCGAATGGTCCGCGTTTGACAGAGAGCAGTCCCGCGAAACATCCCGCTGCCGCCGACCGGCTTTTTCTTCGCCCAGGCCGACATGAGCGCAGAGCAGAGCAAGAACCATGCGGCCAGCTCCCACTTCGCTCTTGCGCCCTCACCGACTCGATAATGTCTGTCGCCAATGCGTTCGGAAAGCCTTTGGCGCTACCGTCCCGCGGGGCAACAGTAGTAGCATCAGCTCTCTGCCATTGATCACGAGCCGGTCCGCCTCGACGACGGCCGCAAAGGCAGCACCCGCAGTGCGTCTCAGCGCGAGCTACTTCGTCTCCAACAGCGTCCTCGACCACTCCAATGCCCGGCCCAGACCCCTCGGCAGCCGGAGCTCCTCGGCTTCCGTAGCGCCATCGTCTTCGTCTTCCTCCTCCTCCTCCACCGCGCGCTCCGAGTCGACGACACCAATCGACGTGAACCAAGACCTACCGCATCGTCGCCGCCAAGCTGCAAGACGCAAAGCCGCCGCCGAAGCCGCTGCCGCAGCAGCAGCCTCCTCCTCGCCCGATGTTCTCCCTTCTCAGGATGCCTCCTCCGCCCTCACCAGCGTCGCCGCCCAACAACCCGCGCACTCGGCCCGCCGTATCTTCTCCACGCTCCTCTCCCTCTCGAAGCCCCGGCTCTCCGCCCTTGTCGTCCTGACCGCGATGGCGCCCTACGCCCTTTACCCCGTCACCGACTTCCTCTCCCCGGCCATCACGGAGTCGCCCTCCCTGAGCCCGCTGACGCTCCTCTTCCTCACCACCGGCACCGCCCTCTGTTCCGCCTCGGCAAACTCTCTCAACATGCTCTACGAGCCCAAGACGGACGCAAAGATGTCGCGCACGCGAAACCGGCCCCTCGTCAGGAACCTCATCTCCACGCGCGCCGCCGTCCTCTTCGCCGTCACCACCGCCATCACTGGCGTGGGCGCCCTCTACTTTGGCGTCAACCCGACCGTCGCCTTCCTCGGCGGCGCCAACATTGTCATCTACGCGGGCATGTACACGCCCATGAAGGCCTTCAGCGCCGCGAACACCTGGCTCGGCGCCGTCGTCGGCGGCATCCCCCCGCTCATGGGCTGGGCCGCCGCCGCCGGCGAGACGGCTTCGGGCGACGGGTCCTGGCGGGAACTCTTGTTTGCCAGCGACGGCAGCTCCATCGGCGGCTGGCTCATGGCGAGCTTGCTCTTCGCGTGGCAGTTCCCGCACTTCATGGCGCTCTCGTGGGGTATCCGGGAGGAATACAAAGCCGCCGGGTTGCGGATGCTGGCGTGGACGAACCCGGCGCGCAACGCGCGCGTCGCGCTGCGGTACAGCATCGCCTTCATCCCCATCTGCGTCGGGCTCTGCGCGGCGGGCGTGACGGAGTGGAGTTTTGCCGTGACGAGCTTGCCCGTCAACGCGTGGCTTACGCGCGAGGCGGTGCGGTTCTGGAAGTTTGAGGGGCACAAGGGGTCTGCGAGGGGTCTGTTCTGGGCGAGCGTGTGGCATTTGCCCGCCGTCATGGTGTTGGCGCTGCTGCAGAAGAAGGGCATGTGGAGCCGGGTGTGGAATAGCGTTGTTGGCGTAGACGATGATGACGAGTGGGAGGACGACGATGAGCTGGATGAGATGCCGGTTACGTTGCCTCCGCCGCGGGGATAGCGTGATGCCAGCGGCGCGTTGTTGTAGTAGAAAACTCGGGATATTGTATGATAGTGTTGCTCGTTTTCCTCGTGGGTGGGAGGGGAACCATCAATACCCATAGTGGTGCTCCGGTCTTAGATTTCTGGGTTCAAAGATATAAAGACCTCACTCTGTAAATCAAGTGTTTGCTCATACGGGAAGACAAAAAAGCGCGGGTGTATTTCCAGAAAATGATGTTTCTCTTTATTTTTCCAGTTCAAAAAAGCATTCCATTGGCGGTTCCCTAGGTTCCTCTCCCTCCTTTTTGTCTCAACCTGGTCTCCCTCTCCTCTGGTATCTCTATAGATGCTAGTATACAGAAGAAAACAAAATATCACGATACCTCCCTCCTTCCCCGGTACTGTTCTGATCATTTGTTCGTCATTATACGGAAGCAAAAAGAATGGCTTCCCTTTGTGCTGTTCATCCATCCCCGCAAAAAGGTAAGGTGAACTCGTAAAGGAGTGCCCGAGTTTCTTACCAATGTCGGAAACCGAAAGCCCATCCTTAGGTGAATTTGAATAATACCCATGCAACTCCGAGAACGCCTCCCGAAAACCCTGCAAGATAACGCCATGACCTAGTAGGAAATTGAAGAAAGGAAAAAGGTGAAAATGCCTTGAACCCTAGGAGCCAAGGGCTTGGGACCACTGGTGGGAATCGTCATTGGAGCCATGCAGTCACATCTGCTGCTGCTGCTGACCGCCGGGTCGGTTGATGATGGCGTCGATGCCCATATCCACGCTCGGCAATCGCTGCCCGTGGGGGTGAAGATAGGGACTGGGAGACTGAGACTGGCCGTGGCCGCCGTATCCGCCGTTGACGGAGCCGTTCGAGGAGACGGAGCTGGTGTATCCGTGGTGGGCGCCGGTGGCGGCGTGGTGGCCGTAGCCGCCGTACTGGGCGGCGTGCATGGGCTGGAGGTGGTGCAGGGAGGCCATGTAGCCCGCGGCCGAGGCGCTGCTGCCGCTGGCGGAGTGTCCGGAGGAGACGGTCTCCGGGCTACTGTAGGAGGCGTCTAGCTCGTCAACTGGGGTTAACCCGAGGCCGCTGATGCCGCTGTCATCGTCATACCCTGGTGGTAGTGGCTGCCCTGACTCCAGGCGCTCCCGTCTGGCCCCGGCGCGGGCTGCGCTTTGTAGGTTCTTGAGACCGTTCGACATGCACTGTACACGGATGTGAGGTTAGCTAGGGTTCCTCTCTCGTCATGTTGTTGCTTTCAAGGGGGAGTGCATCGTACCTTGGCCTCGACGACGTTCCACTTTTCTCCCGTGCGAGCAGCGAGACCGGACCAGATCTCCTTTCTCATGCTCATGTACTCCTTGGCCAGGCGTTCAAGCTTGCGATTGTCCCAGTCGTCGGCACCCTTGCGCTCCATCAGGCGCTCGTGGCGCTTTCTGCAGGCGTTGGGAGTCTTGTTGGGGAAATAGGTGGTCTGGATCTGGCCCCAGTTGAGGCCCTGGGAGCGGGCCGCGAGCAGCTGCTGATCATCCTGTGGGGTCCAGGCTCCCGAAGAGGCGCGGTGTTGCATCGGGGGTACGGAAACCGGGGGCGCAGAGACCGGGGCGTAGCTTTCGTACGTGGGCTGCGGCTGCTGCTGCATGGGGGCCGAGGAGGAGGGCATGGTGTAGTAGGCCGACTGCGGCATGGCCATGCGTTGGTTGTACATTGCGATTGGGTTTGCTGCGGGAGCGAGAGAGATTGGCATTGGGTTTGCGTAACGGTTGTGGTTGTGGCTGGAACTGGATGCCCGCGTGTGTTTGGGCATGATAACTCGGGAAAGTAGATATCGAAGAAAGAGTGGATAACCTGGAGAGAGACGAGATTGTCCGGTATAAAGTGAATGAGTGCAGATTACTGATTATCCTGCAAGAAGAGAAGCGAGTGTCCCGTTATGTTGTTGTTGATGATGATAATTCTGCGCCTCGCCTGGAGGTGGTTTATGGAAAGGTCTGTATTGGTTATAGGGCGGCAGAATTGGAGCGAAAGGAGATTGGCGGACTGAAGAGGAATCTAGAAAATCCGACTTAGGAAATATGATGACTATGACGAGAGAGAAAAAAAGGAAATAGGAGATAGAGGAAAAAAAGAAACTGTTGTGAGATGGAGAGAACTGTCTTGACAAGCGAATACAAGGTCAAAAGGAGGTCGTGAAGCCGGACATTGGGCCTGACTTTAAACAATATCACGGTCAGCCAGGGAGACAAAGAGACACAGAAGCGCGGTTACGATGAGGCCAGGGTTATGGAAGTCTGAAACAGGGCAACTTGACAGAACAAGGCTAAACGAGCTGCCAGAGCTGCCCATGAAACCCGTCTCGTGTGTCTAGAGGGACAGACAACGAGTCCTAGAGCTACAGACATTGGCCAGACGTCTCATCGGGATGGGCGTCTGTCTGAAGTCGGGCGCGTAGAACTGGCCGGGTCTGGAGGGCGGCTACACAATAGACCCTGGGGCAATGATCGGACGGGTCGCCAGGGTCCCGAAGAAGGGAGCAGTAGGGCTCAAACGGGAAGAGACTGGGGCTGGAAAGGGAATTTGAGACGGGTAGAGGTAGTGGGTAAGAGTAGGCGCCAGCCTTGCCGCGCTCGCGAGTGCCTATTTGGAGGAGAATATCGGCCGTGTTAGGGCTGGATCATGCCACGACATGATGTGGGGTCGAACAAAGTCCCCGATTCCCCTGAGAGAAGGTAACGAAGTAAGGTAGACGGCGGCAGCATTGAAGCTCCTAGACTGTATAGAGTTGTTGGAGCGGTCCGCAGCCCCCACGACGGCGGCGGAGGAGCCAATGAGGCGGGAGGCGGGAGATGAGGAAGGATAGGCGCATTGCATTGTGAGCGCGCGGTAGGTGGGCAAAGGTGGGCAATGTCGTAGACGAACTAAGTTAAGACGGTCAAGTCAAGGACACCTGCGGCCTGCCGTTGAATGCGGGTACTTTGAAGTAACGGTAGCAAGGGATCACTGGGTCTGGGGTCCGATCTACAGCCCGATCGACGAATTTATGGGGCCAGCAGACGCGTTGTGAAGCGAAGAGAGAGCCCGGCTTCGTTCGAGTAGTCAGGTTCCTCGCATGAGCAGCAGGAGATTAGATGGAGACCTCGAAGGGCGCGTAGGCGAATGACGAGAGACTTGAGCATGAACCACTGGGTTCTCTTACAGTCGGAAGCATGAACTCGTAGCATCTTGGGCTGGACAGCGAGGATTACGTCCCAGTGTAAGTGAGCGAGTGTTGACGGCATGGAGTGGAAAGGTATCCATGGACGATGAGGTGAGTGGACATGGGAAAGCAGAAAGCAGCGACATTGAAATTGAAGGTTAATTAGACGCGCGCCTGGAGTACAGAGTGGGGCGGTTCATTACCAGTGGACCTCGATGGATGGGTGCCGGGCCTTTGACTGGCCAGGAGTGGAAATAGCATCACGCTAACCTCTTCTGCTTTCGGGTCCACAGCGGGCCGGAGATTCTCCACAGAAATACATTCCCGCCCGGCATCCATGCCCTCCGTCGGGTCTCTCCTCTTCTCCTCCTTGAACCTTTCTGCAGTGTCACGCAAAGCATTTCCTACTATTACTCATTACTCTGTACTCTGTTTTCTATTGTGGAAATAAGCGAAGAGTGCACGGCTCCATCGCCTGCAGAACCAACACATTGTTGGGGCTGTATGCACTTCATTAACATCAAACAGCCCTCGAGGGAAGGCCGCATCTGCAAAGCAACCTCCGCAGCCGAGCGCTTGTTTCTCTCGTGACCCAAGGGCGACCTGAATGACGCCGGAAACGACGACCTTTTGTTTGTTTGCTACCGATCCTCACGCCATGCAGAATCATGTATTACTCGACTCGAGACTTGGAGGGCAGTGAAACCCTAACCATCGCCGTGCCGTGTTATAGATAGTAGATTGCTGCAATATCGTTTTCCATATGTTTCTGTTATGAACGACAAGTCGAGAATGGCCTGTTTTCTTTGCTATGCGGGAACTCATCTCCTCACGACTTGGGGAGAAATGTTGGACCTCGATTCTTATTTCACCTACCTTACGAAGAAGCTTGGGATGATGCGAAGTAGAACTTGCATCACTCTCGGTTTTTTAAGAGCGGGTCACCTGCAGAGTCTTGGTACATCATCATCATACTTTGAGGCCCAACAGGATAATTCCTATGATCTTACGCGAAAAAACACGGATGGCTATGGTGTTATGGGACTGGATTGTGGTTCTATACCATTGAAACATACCGGTATCCCACACTAACACCACATGGAAGCCTTGGTTCGTTCCTAGCAATAGGTAAGAATTCAACTTTGGCCGACTTATGCCCACGCAGTTGTTGGCAGCATAAAAGTGCCGGTGGCAAACTTACAGAGGAAGCCGGCCGGGCCACCAATAGCTTGAGCACGGTCCATTTAGCAGGCTTCTTCAAATGCGCGGGGCAGACCAGCGGATGAATAGTGCCTCTGCTAAGGATGATCCCACAAGCCGCCAAATGGGTTAGGATCCTCTTCTGTCAGCGGTACCCAATGATGATTTGTGGCTGCACTTCTTCAACTTCCTATCTGTAACCTGGATGCATGTGCCTGTGTGCCTGGTAAGGAAGGCAGTAATGTGGCACTGGGGCTTACACCAGGATGGAGGCACCATAGGAGGGGGCTTCCTTCAAATCCCACGTTCCAGCAGTTGGTTTTCAAAGAGAACGCAATGCTCCACGTTGGCTCACTGTAGTTCCGTGTGGGCGGCTCCTAAGGCGTTTTAGCCATGCTGGTGGTAGCTGATTGTGCCGATGTGGTGGATTCTAGACCTCGTTCTTTGTTGTCGGATGAGGAAAAGCCCATTGATAAGGTACCTACCTACCTACCTTAGCCTGTAGGTACGTATGGGGCAAAAGGCTTGTGGCTGCAGCTGTCAGCTTGGCTGGAAGGAAAAATAGAAGATGAAAATTACCCCTCCAGATCTGCAACGGAAAGCCAAGCCGACAAAGTACCCAAGGGAAGTCAAGGTCAAAGAGAAGGGTTAGGTTAGGGGAAACAAAACAAGCATTCAAAATCCCGTTCAGTTCCGTTCCTCTCCATTCGTTCCTTCCATTCCACAGACGGCAATTCTGCAAGGCGAAACCTGGGCAGATAAAGCCGATAAGGCGAGACCCCTGCTCACCTCACCCATCCCTTACTGAGGTGCTCACACTTCTCTTGTCCTGCACTCCAACCACAAGCTGCCTAGGCCTAAGTTAAGGTACTTCGCAACTCCAATTATTAACCTACCTACCTACCTGCCGTGCTTTCTTTACCTCCACGTTTGTTCCTACCTTACCTCACCACCATGGAACCCCGACTTCCCTTCTCAGCATCTTCACCTCAGATCGCTGGGGGAAAGAAAGGAAGGGACTTTGGTGGCCACTAGTTGTCTGCTGACCACCGGCTTCTCCTCGCCTTTTGACAGGTCAACGTCGCAGGCATCTTACAATCTCACTTCGCTTTTGCCTTCTTCACATCACTTTTTCTCCAACAGTCATTCTCTCTTTCTTTGATTATCCAGACAAGCACTCAGACTGTGAGCCACTCATAGGGGTAAGAGCGACTTTCCTCACCCGTCATACGTGTGACCCGTCGTGAACACAAACAACAGCCCCTCTTCCATTTCTCATTTCCCTACTACTTTCAAATTTACCTAGCTTCACTTCTCATACCTCACAAATTTCATACTTACCAGTCAATGGACTCACATGGAGTAACACTCAATTCGCAGCTTAGTCCCGAACGGTCAACCAGGAATCAATCACTTTCACCTACTACACATTTCCTAGCACCTTCCCGACCCAGTATCGCAAGACCGACGGAAAAATCGAAAGATCGAAAGATCGCAAGACCGAAGAAATACAGGATCACAAGATATCAGACCGATTTACTACAACCATCATCAACACAATGAATCCTGACACATCCAACTTTACCCACTCAGTCCCAACTGGACAAGGCACATCCATCGGCATGAGCGATAATATCCTCATGGCATGGCCAACCACTTCAGTGATGGGAGCTTTCGTTGTGGCTTGGCTCATCTTGTGTGCCTCGGTGCGGTTCAGACGCATCAACGCCCTGCAGAAACGCATGGGCTACACTGACCGCGCTTCTCTTGCCGGCATGAGCAACACCGATGCTCAGCTCATCCTCAAGCACCTTATCGAATATGAGTTTCCCAAGTTTTACCTGCTTTCGCTCCAGTTCGCCATCTTCAAGGTATGCCCACCCTATTGGCCCTTTGCGCCTATGATATAGAGTATGGCTGCTGACTTCAAAGTACAGACCTATGGCTTCGAGACTGTATCCAAACTCATTGTGGCTACCAAGAATTTGGCCGATCCTGAGAACGCACAGAAGAGGTAACATCCATGAGGACTAGAACTCATCGTGCATTCTCAAGTTCAAAACGTGGTCAAGGAGCTAACACAAATTTTCCAGATATGAGGACACCACCATCATCTTTGGCGAGTACGTTGAACACCTTCTGTATCTTTCCCCTAATACCCTTCCGCCTGCTGACAATCTCCTGCCAGATTTTCCATGAACCCCCCAACTTCGGACCGCGCCCTCAAGGCTATCTCTCGCATGAACTTCCTCCACAGCAGCTACAAAGCCCGCAACCAGATCTCCAACGCTGACTTCCTCTACACCCTCGCCGTCTGCGTCACGGAGCCCATCCACTTCATGCGCTTCTACGAATGGCGCGACCTCGCCGACATGGAGGTCTGCGCCATCGGCACCCACTGGAAGGCCATCGGCGATGCCATGGATATCCAATACAAGGGATATCTCACTCAGGACTCATGGGCCGACGGTATCGAATTCGTCAACGACATCAGCGCCTGGGCCAAGCGCTACGAGATTGAGGCCATGAAGCCCGCTGGCACCAACATCCGCGCGGGCGCCCAGCTGACACGCATGCTCCTCTGGCATGTTCCGGGCTTTGCTAAGCCTTTCGCCAAAGAGGTATTGACCGTTCTCATGGGAGAACGCGTCCGTGACACCTTCTGGTGAGTGTTCTTCCCGACCTCTTCCCCTCCTCCCACCGCTGGATAAGAAAAGAAAAAACTAACACTTGTGCCCATCACAGCTTCCCGGAACCCGGCATCGTCGCATCTCTCACAGCCTACGCCGCCCTCGTCGCCCGCCGCTTCTTCGTCCGCTACTTCATGCTTCCCCGCTTCTCCCCCGTCGTCTTCTTCTCCGATCCGGATCCCAAGACCGGCCGCATCCTGCACCACGATTACCTCGTCCACCCGTACTACATCCCCGCCACCTTCTGGAACCGCTGGGGCCCCGTCGCGCTGATCACCCGTCTCCTGGGTGGTACCGTCCCCGGCTCGGAGAAGATGATGCCGCACGGCTTCCTCGTCGAGGATATTGGTCCCAAGGAGAAGATGGGTAAAGGTTCGGCCGAGTTGGCTGAGGGGGTCGAGATGCTTCGCTGCCGTGGTCGCGGCGCCTGTCCCTTTTCGGGATGAGTGTTGATGGTGTATAACTATTACAGATGAGAATGATGGAAAACAACAGGGTCTTCAAGGAAGAGACATACAAGCATGTAAGATTGCGGAATCGATGCTTCCGAGCGGGACGCTCATGAACAGGCGTTTTGGTTTCTTCCGTGCGTCTGTATGGACTGAGCTTAGGGACCTTGGGATTCGAGCCAGTTGGCGACCCAGGAGATTCGCCGATACATAGCCTCGTATACCCAGGGCATAATACATTCTCTCTCCATTGAGCGCTTAGAAGGAGTATAATTTTTTCACCGTGTTATTTTACTTTCACCTCATTGCCGTCACACAACCTCGACTACTATTTTTTCTTCGCCTGGGGGAATCTGCTGCATTTGGCCATGCTATCATAAATTCATTACCTCCGCGCCCCATGCTCCTCCTCTCTTTCATCTCTCCAAAAGTTCTCTCCGTTTTTGAGTTACTCTTCTCACGGCCCGGCGATCCCGAGGCCAACGCGGCCTTGCCCACCGCCGCCGCCGCCATACGGTCCCACGCCAGCGCTCATACTCCCGCCCGAATTCGTCCCCGTGCGCTCACGCATCCTCCTACCCTCCATAAGACCTCGCAAGCCTCGCTTCTGCAGGCCGATGACGGAGCTGAGCTCCCCTCCCCAGACCTCGCGCATACCGCCGCGCTCCGAGTCGCCAATCTCGGAGCTCCATTCGGACCCGCTGACGCTCGTCGTGGCGCTGAGTTCGTCGCTAGACGGTCGACCGGAGGACATTGCGGTGTTGATACGGAGCGCCGCAGTGCGCGAAGAAAGACCGTCTGCCCCGCCGCTGCCGTTTTGGGACTCTTCTGAGGGGAACAGTGGAGAACCCATGGCGTCCAAGGGTACGAAGAAGTTGGGGTTCAGGGAGCCGTCGATGCCGCGGCCACCACCGGCGGCCATGGCCGTCGCGTTGAAGACGGCGGCTGCGTTTCTCGAGTCCAAGAGTGCGTGTAGGCGCTCGACTACTGCCTCGAGAAGCCCGTCGATCCGGTATGGGCGGGCGATTTGAAGAAGTGAACACAAGATGGGAGGTGTGCACAGTGGCGATGACGGAGGCGGCAGTGAGGACGTGTAGAGGAAGTGCAGGAGGGCCTGCACCGTGAGATAGGTGTGAGGAAGGTACAAGCATCGAGGCCGCGAGTTCGGTGGTAGAGACCTCGGGGTCGGGGCTGAGTTGACTGTGGCGGGATCGACACCGCCGGCCGAGCCCGGTAGGGAGAACGAGGCTGCCGAGGCGCTGGTCGGAGCTGTACTCGGGGCCTTTGCCGATGATCCGGATGAGAGCACAGTGCTGGCCATGGACGTCGAGCTTTCGGCTGTGTTGCGGGATGGGGTGATTGTGAGAGCGGAATTTCTGATGGGGTTGTTGACTCCAGATCGAAGAGTCATGGCATCGCTACCATCCTGAGTTGCCGTCCCTTCTCGCAACAGCTGCACAAAGTAGGGGCCCCATCGCCGTGCCACCATCCTAGAATTAATGGGTATCCGCTCCCCGTGTAAGCATAGGATATCCATATCGGAAAGCTCCCGCATCGCCAGTGCCTTTTCGCCAAGCTCCTCGGCCGCCCTGGAGTGGAAGCGCCCACCGGCCGTAGTTCCTGCTTTTCTAGCTAGACTTAATCCCGGGCTAGTGTAAGGACTACTGGCTGATACGAAGCCAGACATGGGCGTCGTCTTTCTCGGGTTGTCGTAGAATCCAAAAGCTTCCAGCTCGACCATGCAAACATTGGAAAAGTTGATACGGCGATGGTTATAATCATCGACGAGACTTCGTTTCCGGTTGCCAAGAATCACAAAAGTGTTCCTGCGGTTCCAAAGCACACCGCGGTTCCAGCTGCCTTGGCTGAAGACAGCACCACCCGCATCAATCCGCGACCAGGTCAACGTCTTGAGGTCAAGAGCCCACAACGCATACTCCTGCTTCGAAGACGTCAGGTATGTGCCGCTTACGACAAAGTAGGTATCGATGACGCCGCCGTTCGGAAACCGCAGCCCTGGGGGCGAGTAAGAGCCCGACATGGGTTTCTCCGTCAATGTGCCGTCTGAAGATCGAATTTGTAGTTCGAGCTTGACGTCCAGGAAGTTGTAATTTGAATAAATGAGCATTGAGGATCCAGGCTCACGAGCTTCTTGGCTGATGCCGCCCTCCCGTTGATATCCATTGACGCTCGACTTCCCGATTCGTGCCGTAACAGAGGGGGGTAAAGGAGCAACGACGCTTCTGTAAGCGCCGCAGCTCTTGTCGAGAGGTTCGATAGCGGTCCACTTGAGGCTGCGAAGGTTGAAAACACTAATTTGCTCAATGTAGTGGTTTGCGCCATCCTGGCCACCAACCACCACCATTTCAGCACCGCCGGTTCCATCAATGTTGATCCCTATCCTCCCTTCGTTGGGGTTGCCGGATGATGGATTGTGCTGCAATGCCGACAGTGGCGCCTTGTGCGAGGCGAACGATGCCGACGAAGGCAATATGCAGGCGCAGTGGGCGTAACGTCCTTGCGGAGGATCTTGAGTTGGAATGTAGGTCCACTTTCGGGTGGGAACATCGTAGATGTAAATGTCCGACATGACGGTCACCTCTGGCTGCTGATCCGGGCCTGCGTTCGCTTGATTTGGTGTGGGAGACATGCCTCCATAGCATACCAACTTAGTGTCTCCTAATGGACACACGGAGTGGAAGTATCGAGGCGGTGGTATATCGCCTGTGGTTTCCAGCTTCGACCAATGCCTGCGGATCAAGTCCAACTCGTACAGATCGGATGTCAGAGGAGCCGGGCGACTCCGCGACAGAATTCTGCCTCCAAAGACATAAAGTTTATCCCCTAGTATAGTTGTTGTAGCTCCGACAAGCGGATGCGGTTCCCTGCCTGTCGTCCTATGCACATTGCACATAAGTCCGGATAGATGCGCCGAGGATGAGGACGCAGTGGGTGTACCAACCGCCGACGCGGGTGTTCTTTGTTGGTTGGAAGACTGGTTGGAAGATGGAGAAGGACCTGCTGACAAGGGACCGTTGCTCCGCGGAGTCAAGTTTGGTGGTTCCCTATTATTATTATCGTCGGCTCCATCTTGTCTCGAGGAGCTTGCTAAGCTACTCTGGCTGCTGGCCATGTCGGCGTTGTATCCTGATCCGCCGCTGTACATCTGAGCTCGTTCCGCTGAGGCGCTAGAGTCCATCGTACTGGTACGACTATACATATCATCGGCCGGAGCTTCCTCGATGGCACCGAGACCCCCCAAATTGTAATGTGCAGGAGGTGCTTCAGGCCCCGTAGGAGAAGGAAACGACGCTGGCGGTTCGGGTAGTGGTTTGGCGAGGCTGCTCTGTAGGCTTAGACTCCTCCCATGCTGGAGCTGCTGGGCCGGGCGATTTTTGGACGAGTTTGGAACGGGTGTCGGCGTCGAAGAGGTGGGGGGAGAGGGCGACGAGGTCAAGCTTGGCGAGACGCTGTGCAGACCCAAGCGAGAAAGTGACGGCTGTCTTGTCAGCCTCGATTCGCCGTCTCGGCTCGGGGCGAACTTTTTGAAGCCGCGATACACGCCCGAGAGGATATCTGAAGTCGTTTTGGTTGTAGGAGGAGATCTGTCCTGCTCCGTCTCCGAATCAGAAAAGCGCGAGAGATCGCCCTGCGCGGAAGACTGGTTCGAGGTTAGTCCCGGGCCAGACATTGCGACACAATCAGCCCCCAGGCTGTGGATACAGCCTGGAGAGCGATGCGCAACAGAAACAGTCTCGGCGGGTTGAGAAAAAGAATAGCGCTCAGAGGCTCAAAAAAGGAGGTTGAGTGGTTTTCATGTAGGGCGGGATTTGGGAACCGAGTCGGTCAAGCAAGGTGGGTTCGGGAGGAGAGAGGAATTCGGCAGAAACTGCTGCTTCTGCGCCAGATTGCCAAGGTCTGATTCGGCGTCGATACCACAAGATTTGCAATAGGCCAGAGCAATCGCAAAGAAGTAGACAAGAAGAGTAGTCGCAGTAAGGAAGCGGTGGGGTGAGGAAGTGTAGAGGGTGGCCGGCTCGTTCTTGAGGTCCGAGGTGGTGAAGAAGTGAGGGCACACCGACACACGACAATGCTAGAGCCAGAAGAAAGCCCAAGAAGCGGAAACCAAAGGTAAGAAAGGGAAAATGCAGAAAAATGAAAATTGAGTAGATGATGAAGCGAACAGAAACCCCAGCTCAAGCAATCCCAACCCAGGTTCGCTTGTTCATCCGGCTCTGCTAGGCCCCTGGTAACTTATGACGGGTAGGCTCCGGTTGAGTATCTGTCTGGCTTTCACTCTGTGCGTGTTGTGCGTCTGTGTCTCCGGGGTGGATTCCTGGACTAGACCGGGCTCGGCTGGGATTGGGACTGGGCTGGGCTGAGGGAGCGAGGCCTTGTCTGCTCCGTTCTTTTGTGCGTGTTTCCCTCTCACTTCCTCTCTCTCTTTCTCTCTTGTCCGTTATTTCTCCCCACAGTTGACAGGAAGCGGCGCACAAGAGATAGAGTGGGATGTGGGCTAGGGTGTGGAGGACAAATGGGCACAGGATGTGGATGGGGATCATGGATGGGATAGGAGGGGAGGGGGAGTGGACGAGAATGGGCAACGGGATTGAAGTCTATGGAGTACGAAGTACGAACGGTACGCACCTAGGACCAGGGGAGGCGCAGGGACTCCAAGAAGTCGATCGGGTCAAAAGTCAATGAGTTGAGTTAAGTCGAGTTGAGTCGAGTAGGAAGCGAGGCGAAGTCTTGGGGGTTTAGATTCAAGCGAGGGTGCTCGGCAGGCAGAGAAAAACAGGACCAATGTCGAAGAACGATAACGACGACGGAGACAGCGAGCGGCGACAGCGAGAGCGACGGGGATAGCGGTCTCGAGACGACTCAGGTGCGGTGAGCAGCAAGAATTGAGGGTCGTTCTCTGGTACGGTAGGGTATCCGTACGCGGTACAGACGACAGAGAGCACTGTATCTGTATGTAGAGTCGCAACAAGGTATGC